ATGTACTGGATCTCTTTGAAACATCAGAATAAGGTTCTTAGTTTCTGACGCTCAAAATTCAAATATCAGGACAAAGGCAGAGGGTAATTTGGACAGTACTTCCCCTCAGAGAATTATAAATTATATAAATATGCTTCTTAATCATATATATACCAGGGATGTCAAACTCAAGGCCTGCGGGCTGGATGCGGCTCGTGAGGTGCTTAGATCTGGCCTGCGGGGCTGGCCTGGAAATATCAAAGGACCAGCCAGCAGTGCCTCTGCTGGCCAAAATGGGGCATGGTTGGGGGGGTCATACATACCCCCCATGGCCTGTTTTGGCCTCCACGGCCTCAGGCAGCACTCTGCCAGGCATAAATGGGCTGCGGGCGGGCTGTGCATACAATCCATGCCCCATTTTGGCTGGCAAAGTGCTGCAGGAGGCCATCCAGGCAAAAAATGGAGGTGCGGGGGGCTGTGCATGCTTCCCCGGGCCCCATTTTGGCTAGCAGGGTGCTGCAGGAGGCATTCATCTCGTCTCCCCCACTTTCCTACCCCTGCCCCCCCCGGCCTATGGAGGAGAACTACAATGCTGATCCAGCCCTCGAAGAAATCCAGTTTGACACCCATGATATATATGGAACAGCCCTTTCCATCCACCTCATCATGTCCTTAATCCAAAAGTGAAGACATTCATCAATGATCTCACCATACACAGTACTCAATTTTGCAATTATTACTTGGGAAAAGCCCTTTTTTTCCTGTTTCACTTTTTTATCTTTTAAGAGCAGCTATGCCATGTTGAACCTATGTCTGAATCACAAGGGGTCCTCAAGTTACGGCTGTAAGGGAGCCTGTCCATTACAGTCATAAGTCATAACGGTCATAAAATGCATTGGTTATCATGGGACTGATCTGATTTTACGTTCTCTTTGCAACATTAAGCGAATCACCATGGTCTTAAATGCAAATGCTCAGTTGCTAAGCAAGCATGGCGGTCATAAGCGTGAATCCCTTCTTGTGATGGACACAGTTTTTCTGAAGGGTTGGTTTTCAGCAAAACCAGTGTAAAACATGATCACGTGACTACAGGATGCTTGAAATGGCCGTAATTGCAGCCATGTTGCCAAGCAACCAAGTGTGGTCACATGACCATTAGGGAGTGGGAGGCATTGGAACTTCAGATCCAGGTCATAAGTTCTTATTTCAACAGTAACTGAAACAGTCTCTAATAATAGAGTAGACAGATTTGAAGTGAAGGAAGGACCCCCCCCCCAGAAAGAAGAAGAAACCATGAGGCAGCAAATAATCCAAACACAATACAAATAATTAAATCATAAAGGGAAGAAAAGCCCTGTCTTGCTCATTGGCAGAACTCATACCTCAGGCAAGCTCAGGTGTAAACATCTGAGATAAACATAACTACAAAAAATGCAACCTCTTTGATCATCTTAAGAGCAACTGCATTCTTTTTGCTGATGATGTAAAGCTGTTCAATACCACAGACAATACTGCTACCCTTCAAATAGATCTTGACTATGTATCAGAATGGTCAAACAAATGGCAACTTCAAATCTCAACAAATAAATGCTCTGTCTTACATATTGGCAAAAAAAAATCAGAAAATAAAATACAAGCTGAATAGCCAAGATCTTGTTGATGATCCAAGCTCTGTAAAGGACCCTGGAATACTCATCTCTAATGATCTAAGTGCTAGAGCCCACTGTAACTACATAGCCAAAAAGGCATTAAGAGTTGTTAACCTAATCCTACATATCTTTTTCTCTGGTAATATCACACAACTAACTAGAGCATACAAAACATTTTCTAGACCAATACTCAAATACAGCTCATCAGTCTGGAACCCACATTACGTATCTGATATTAGCACAGTTGAGAAAGTCCAGAAATATTTCACAGGAAGACTTCTCCACTCCTCTACTCATTGTAGAATACCTTATGCCACCAGACTTGAAATTCTAGACCTAGAAAACCTTGAATTACGCTGTCTTCGGTCTGATCTAAGTATGGTATATAAAATCATACATTGCAATGACTTACCTGTCAATGAATACTTCAGCTTCAACCATAACAACACAAGAGCACACAATAGATACAAACTCAAGGTTAACCTCACCCAACTTGATTGCAGGAAATATGACTTCAGCAACAGAGTGGTCAATGTTTGGAATACTCTACCTGACTCTGTGGTTTCTTCCCCAAACCCCAAAAACTTTAACCTTAGACTGTCTATTATTGACCTCACCCCTTTCCTAAGAGGTCTGTAGGGGGCGTGCATAAGCGCACCAATCGCGCCTACTGTCCCTGTCCTATTGTTTCTTTTATTTTTCTTATATGTACCCATTTCATGTATTTATAACTATGTATATACTTATACCTATTATCTTGTAAGCGATTGACAAACCAAATAAATCAAATCAAATGTAGCAAAAGAGCAAAGGTAGTATCTGTTGCTTGTTAGATCAATTACCAGAACAAATAGACACAGGAATTAAATTTCTCAACCTTGCTTCCTTTCAGGAACAAAGATTAACCTTCCTCCTTCCAGACAAAGTTGAACAGGGAAAATTATCCCATCAATAAACACAGGATTAAACGTCACCAAAAACCAGTTTTAGACAAAAACTCAAAAGGTATATAACAATCACGTTTGAATATCAGTCTTTCTAGCTAGCCAAAAAAACTTTGCTGAATGTCACTCATCTTGGTTTCTTGCCATTAAAAGACCTCTTTCCAGCAGTTCTGTTTCGTTATTCCATTTATTCGTCAAAGTGTTGTTTCTCAGCTGGAAGAATCCTCATCAGGAGGCATTTTCCTCCCAACAGAAGGAAAGGGCCTAATTCCACATCATACTCTGCAATTTTCTCACTTTGTTCACACATACACACAAACACACACACACACACACACACACACACCCCACTCCTTGTCTCAACACAAGCAGAGTAGAATTGGATTTTTTGTCCCAAGTGGCAACATGCAAAATTTAACATTGTTATCTATGTGATGGTATCCTTAATAGAATGACCATTTTGGCCTTTGAGAAAAAGTCAGGAACAAGTGGTCAAATATAAGGAGCGAATATAAAAACCTACATTGCAGTTTATAAATCTCTGGGAGGAAGAGGAATTTAACCACCAGATAATAAAAAAATAAAATATCTCTGGTTGGAGGCAATCAATAAATTGGGTCAACATATAGTAGAAAATATGTTTTTTTATTTGTAGGAATATGTGTGATGAGAAGTGTTTGGGCCATATTGAAATACATACTACTTTGGCAGAAATGTTCTAATATTTTACTATAATAGTTTGCACTTTATATGTTTTAATAGTCTATATGGATTTATTAGTAAACCTGCAACCATTAATAAGTTTAATATACTGTATAAGGTACCTTTTTTTCTTTGAGTTTTTTATCCTTTGCTTTGCTTTTGGTTTCTTTTTTTTATTTCTTTAAATATTGTTTCATTTAACTTCAGGATTTTTAAACTGTATTTAGCCAATCTGTCAATACATTGCTTTGTATTTTGAATAATAATGATCAGTATAAAACCATAGAACATAAATAATAAACTACAAAATAAATGAAGGAACAAAGCACAATTGATTTATGATCTGTGGAAGGAACTATGTTCTGCAAACCATTTGTATTTTCCCCAAAATACTGCTTTTGTTCCTACAAAACATGGGGATTCCTTTTCCTTCTCACCTAGGTGGCGCTGTTTGACCAGAAAAGAAATAATATTAATACCCAGACTTTAGCAATAGAAAGAGTGAGCTATAAAAAAACCAACCTGAAATGTTCCAAAATACAGGTTGTCCTTGACTTACAATCACAGCTGAGTCCAAAATTTCCGTTGCTGAGCAAGACAGTTGTTAAGTGAGTTGTGCTCCTTTTATACAAGCTTTTTGCCATTGTTCTTAAATGAACCACTGAAGTTGTTAAGTGAACCATGTGATTATTAAGTGACTCTGGCTTCCCCCCTTTGACTTTGTTTATCAGAAGCTCCCTAACCAAGGTTGCAAATGAGACTTCAAGATGCTGCAACCATCATAAATAAATGCCAGTTGCCAAGCACCCAAAATTTGATTACCTGACTGCACGGATGCTGCCACGAACAAAAGGGTGAAAATTGGTCACAAGTCACTTTTTTCAGTACCGTTGTAACTTTGAACAGTCATTGATCAAATAGATATCAGTTGAGGACTACCTGCATTCAGGAGGAGAAACCTACCCTGAAAAGAAGGCATCAAAGTACTACAAGTACAGAGATCATGATGATTATCCGTCAACTTGAACGTGATATGGGTCTTCCGAGCAAAGCTGCATTTGACTTGCTTCTTCATGCTTTTCTCCAGAGCCTCTTTTTTCATGCAAATGTGGAGTTGAGAGGCCCTTTCCCCCTTAAATATGCTGGGTCTTCCCATCTGATCAGTATCCAGGATTTGTTTTCTATCTTCCCACCAGGTTATCACATCCCTGTAGTATTTCTTGGATGGGAATAAACAGCTCAAGATGTAGCACACGCTATCAGCCTGGTAGGACTCCATCCTTTGCTGATTGCCTGGAAGAGAAACGTTCAACAAGAAATCAGAGCAGATGATTGCAGCTGGACTACAGACAGTACTGGATTGTTTTGTTTGTTTGTTTGTATTTTAACCCACCTTTATTATGCTTATGGATAAGGCAGCGCATATACATAACATTCTTTCCTCTTCCTATTGTGGTCGTAAATCGAGGACTACCTGAAGTGTTTTCTGCCCAGAAGAGGCTGCGCTAATCTAAATTAGTGAGACTTTGTTTTGCTTCTGGTGCCAGGATAATTTGGCTGGCCTCAAGTATCTATCCATCTGGTGATATCCGGAGAAAACCCTCCATTTTCTGCTTAGTCTGCAGATGTTTTAACCATATCCCTGGTTGTTAACAACAACAAAAGATTACTTAATCTGGAGTTCCTGTTTATGGACTAGAAGAACTCCAAGGTCCCTTTCAACTCTATTATTCCATTATACATGGGACCTAACCAGTTTCAGAAGAGCCTCAGGCATATAAGGGGTTATCGGGATGTTGGAGGTTAAAACCCACCCCTCTCCTGGGGAAAATGAAATGTTTAGGATATACTAAAAAGGCAGAATATTTCCCCTAAAAGAGAGGTAGAAACTCAGAGAGGTAGAAACTCAGCCCCACCCCACCTTTGTTAATGGGCCATTAATGCCTCAGCCACTATTTTACATAACAAAGATCTACCTCCTTCAGGCAGAGCCATTTCATTGCCCTTCATTGTACCACCCACAAAGTTTCAACCAAATTTAGCACACACACAGACAACTTATAAAGCTAGCTATGACCTCTGACAGCAACCAATCAGGATACTCTTCCTGTGCCCCAGGAAGTTCAAAGCCAGAAAGGGTATAAAACCCAAGCACTCTCAGCATCTCCTGCCCTTTTCTTCGCCCAAGATCTCCAAGATGATCCTGTTCATCAATAAACCACCTTTCCAAACAGCCTCCATGTTTCCAGTGTCTTTCCATGTTTCCAGTGTCACTTGGAACTGAACCCAGAAGGATATTTTCTTCCAACAAGGATTTTACTATCTTTCAAATGCTACCCCACTTACTTGTCACCACCACAAGATCATAAAAATGGTTCATGTCACACCAATAACGGCCTGTGTCATTATCCCTCACATGGTGAAATTGAAGCGAGTTATTCTGAAGCATCTCCAGCCAGCTCCAGGCATTTGGAAAACGCTTTATATGGTCGTTGGAGAATTTGCGGAAGAGTAAAACTGTTTTGCCTTGCTGGGCATAATACCAGGACATTTCTTGAGTACCAGAACAAGATTGACATGGGCAGGGCAACTCTAGGGAAGAGCCTCTCTTGGCGTATACATCTATGAGAAGAAAAGACATAATTAGGTTCTCCAAACTTAAATAGAGATAAACTAGCAAAAAGATGGGTAGGCAAGCTATGGCCCATTGACAGGATCATAAAAAAGATGTTGAGATTCTAGAAAGAGTGCAGAGAAGAGCAACCAAGATGATTAGGGGACTGCAGGCTAAAACGTACGATGAACAGTTGCAGGAACTGGGCATGGCTAGTCTAGTGAAGAGAAGGACCAGGGGAGACATGAGAGTAGGGTTCTAATATTTGAGGGGCTGCCATAGAAAGGAGTGGGGTCAAGCTATTTTCTAAAGCACCCGACAAGGAATAATGGATGGAAACTGAACAAGGAGAGATTCAACCTGGAAATAAGGAGGAATTTTGTGACAGTGAGAGCAATCAACCAATGGAACAGCTTTGCCTTCAGAAGTTGTGGAAGCTTCATCATTGGAAGCTTTCAAGAAGAAACTGGACATTTCAGAAATGATGTAGGATATGCTTGGGCAGGAGGTTGGACTAGAACTAGATGACCTACAAGGTCCCTTCCAACTCTGTTAATCTGTAAATTTTCTAGTTCAACCCCTTGCTCAAGTGGGAAACTCTATACCAGGGCTTCAAACTTCCGGCCCGTGGGCCGGATGCTTCACACGCTGGCCATGCCCATGTCCAGTTTAGCAAAGGGGGGAAAGGTCCCAATGCATCATGTCACTTAGCCATGACAATGTGAATTTGACATCCTTGCTCTATATCATTTCAGACAAATGGTTGTCCAATCTCTTCTTTAAAACTTCCAGTGTTGGAGCATATATGTACAACAAATTGTTCTACTGATTAAATGTTCTAACTGTCAGAAAATGTCTCCTTAGTTCCAGGTTGCTCCTCTCTTTAATTAGTTTTCATCCATTGCTTCTTATCCTGCCTTCAGATGCTTTGGAGAATAAATTGATCCCCTCTTCTTTATGGCTATCTTTAGATAGTGAAAAATTACCATCATGTCACCCACAGTCCTTCTTTTCATTAGACTAGACATTCCCAGTTCCTGCAACACTTCTTCATGTTTTAGCCTGTAGCCCCCTTTGTTGCTCTTTTCTGTATTTTTTTTCAAGAGTCTCAATATCTTTTTATATCATGGCAACCAAAACTGCACACAGTATTCCAAGTATTCCAAGTGTGGTCTTACCAACACATTATAAATTGGTACTAACACTTCGTGTGATTTTGATTCTATCCCTTTGTTAATGCAACGTAAGACTGTATTGACTTTTTTGGTGGCTACAGCACACTGCTGACTCACATTTAAGTCTACTAGGACTCCAAGATCCTTCTTACAGTTACTGGATCATAATTAGTCTAGCAAACAATCCTCACCTGTATTGCCTACAATGGCTAATAGCTAATGGCTCTCCAAGAAAATCTTTCCAGGCCTTCCTGGAAAAATTAATTGACCTAAAATCCTGTGGGTATTTTACTGTTTTCCTGTCCTTTCTGGCTCAGTTACCTCTCCAACTTGGTCCTTTCTAGATGTACTTGAGAACAGTTCTCAACATCCTGCAGATGAAAAGAACCATAGCTTTTCTTTCCTATGGATCTTGATGATTACCTAAAGTAGATCAGGCTTTTCTACCCATTGCAGGAAGACACTAGTTCCACATCCCTGATAAATGACCATCCAACTTCTCTTTAAATGCCTCCCCCCAGACTACCAGAAATCCATCAGCTCCTGAGAAAATCCATTCCAGTTCTTAGATGATACTCTCAACATCTGGATCAGGGTACTAAATTGGGGGTGGTGAGTCAAACCAATCTTTGAGAACATGCCTCAGTCTTCTGTCCCACACCTCCGCTCAAGATTGCTTTCTGGGTGCCTCCAATTCTAACTAACATTTACAAAAGTTTAATATTTGTTTTGCCTGAAAACAGCATCAGCCTCATGTCAATTACTCTGTCATTAAAATATTGCCCCCTTCCTTTTCCACTTAAATTATTTTCTGCAGCAACCTTTTCCTAAATTCCTCTAGCAGTATCCCCTCTTCTCTGTGAAAGCCCCTCAGATATCCAAGGGACTGGAGGCTAAAACATATAAAGAACAGTTGCTGGAACTGGGTATGTCTAGTCTGAAAAGAAGGACTAGAAGTGACATGATAGCAGTTTTCCGATATATCAGGGGCTGCCACAAAGAAGAGGGAGTCAAGCTATTCTCCAAAGCCCCTGAGGGCAGGACAAGAAGCAATGGGGGGAAACTAACCAAGGAGAGAAGCAACTTAGAACTAAGGAGACATTTCCTGACAGTTAGAGCAATTAATCAGTGGAACAACTTGCCTCCAGAACTTGTAAATGCACCAACACTAGAAGTTTTTAAAAAGATGTTGGATAACCATTTGTCTGAAATGGTATAGGGTTTCCTGCCTAGTCAGGGGGTTGGACTAGAAGACCTCCAAGGTCCCTTCCAACTCTTATATTCTATTCTATTCTATTCTATTCTAAACTCCAGAAGTTCTAAATTCAGGGGACACCCCCCACACACATTCTTATAGATCTGTATTTATGGTTTCCCTCCAGCATCTTTCCCAAACAAAATTCAGATAGTTCTTACTGTTGGCATCACAAAGTTGGACAAGTAAGAAGAGGGTGGCCAAAACAGCTGTGGTGGCAGTCCTAGGAGTTGAGACAACAGCATCCATTTCAGAAGGGAGATTCTTCCAGAGAACCATTATGCGAAAACAACATAACTTGGCTGAAATTACTATTATTATTTTTTTGCTCTGATCCAGAGGAGGTTCTTCTTTCACATCCCCAGCATTATCTATTAGGTTACATTTATTTTGTTTCTAAAACACAGTCATGATAAAAGTTTTTTTTAAAAAAAAACCCACAAAGAACATAGACATCCAACCACATCTACATCCGGCACATTCAGAGGATACCAGATGATGGGGCTTATCAAAAGGACATAAACTGGACCACAAAGGGAAGCAGTAGAGAATGAGAGACATTTAATTGGTTATTTAAATGTCAGACATTTAAAAATTGCTTGTCATTAATTCCCCCAAATGAATATTTTTTAAAAAAATATGTCTTTTATTATTATCAATATTATTGTTATTACTGTTGTTGTTATGGTTCGTGATACAGTCAGCCAGATGTTTAGACTGGATTTGGCATATTTTATCCACCTATTGAGTCCTTCCCAGGGATCTGGGATAGGCAGCTGACCAATGACATTGCTGTTTGATGCTGATAAAGATATTGTCACAGGATGTAAGCTTTTGCAAATAAAGCTGCCTTTTGCAATTGACAGGTGCTGATTTTGTCAATGCCAATAATGTTCAACTGGTGCTCCAGTTGTTTTGGGGTTGCATCTAAAGTAGCTATTCCTGTTGCAGTTTTGTTGTTGTTGTTGCCACAGTCGTTCTACTTTTATTTGCCGGTTTTGTATTTTGCGATTTTTTCCAGTTCTTTCTCTTCTAATCAGCAATTTTCAGACACTGGCATATACACTATCTAGTTTTTGTCTCATTGACCATTCTAAAGTCTGGGGTGTTATGTCACAGGTATTTGTTTGAATTATTATACCAATTCACTTATTAATAATCATTATTATAGTTTCCTTTTTTATTTTATTAATTATTATGGTACAGGTAGTCCTCAATTTATGATCACAATTGAGCCCAAAATTTATGTTGTTAAAGTGAGACATTTGTTAAGTAAGTTTTCAGCCCATTTTATGACCTTGCTTGCCACAGTTGTTAGAAAGAAGCAACCTAGAACTAAGGATAAATTTCCTGACAGAACAATTAATCAGTGGAATGACTTGCCTCCAGAAGTGAATGCTCCAACACCAGTGGTGGGATTCAAATTTTTTTACTACGAGTTCTGTGGGCGTGGCTTGGTGGGCGTGGCAGGGGGAAGGATACTGTAAAATCTCCAGTCAGAGGTTCTCCAAACTACTCAAAATTTCCCTACCGGTTCTCCAGATCTGTTCAGAACCTGCTGAATAACACCTCTGTCCAACACTGGAAGTTTTTAAGAAGAATTGGATAACCATTTGTCAGAAGTGGTGTAGAGTTTCCTGACTGAGCAGGGACTTGGATTTGAAGACTTCAAGGTCCCTTCCAATTCTGTCATTCTGTTAAATTCTATAAATGAATGAATGAATGAATGAATATTGATATAGCTGATATTAGTTTACTTCCAAAAGGATAGGACATACTCCTGCCAATGATAGCAAAGGAGCAACAGATATTTTATTACTTCTCCATGCTAGTCCAAGAGAACTAACAATTCCTCAGGATGGTTTTAGGATGTCAAAAAGAAAGGTGGGGAAAAAAAGCTATTGCTTTCTCCTTCCTTGGAGCATTTTGTGATTCTCAATTTTATCTATGGAACTTCTAGCTGATATTCAGAGCTATAGTTCACTGAGCAAAATGTCTTGTCCTGACCAAACACTGGTCATACAAGAACATCAACCTGTTAGTCAAGGACACATGATGAAATATGTTTGGTGTGCATGATTCACTTTTCCATTTTTACAACCAGGAGGAAGTTGAGAGGGATCCCCATTTCCTTTTCTTGTCAAACAACAAACAACAGCAGTTTTTCTTAAAGAAACCTGTTGGCTAAAATATGATATACAGGTAGTCCTCGACTTAAGACCACAATTGAGCCCAAATTCTCTGTTGCTAAACGAGATACTTGTTAAGTGAATTTTGCTCCATTTTATGACTTTCCTTGCCACAGCTGTTAAGTAAATCCCTGCAGTTGTTTTTTTTTTTTTGAAACAAATTTTATTAATTTTAAAGACAAAGCATCATTAGACATTAAAGACATTAAACCTCTTTCCATTATAAATTTTTACAAGGCAGATAAAACATTATTTTATACAATATAATTCTAATATATCCCATTTCCACTTAAATATTTTTTAGCAAATTTCTCATTATTTCTCTTTGCTCTTATTCAATTACATTTCTTCTATATTTATCCATTTTATACTCATCATATTCATATTTCCCTCTGCCTTGTTTACAAATATTCTTCTCGCTTTCTCCCAAGGTTTTATTAAATCTCAATCATACACACACAAAACACAAAAACATAAAACTTCTTTTTAAAAAGTAGCTTGGCCCCGGATTACCTCTCTTTGTATGGACTTCAATTAAATTCATGTTCAACTTATATGCCATTACCTATCTTATTACCCTTCTATATCTTCATTATAACTTCTCCCCGCTTTCCACTCTTCTTAATTCTATTTTATTTATTTCATCTTAATTTAAATCATTATATTTGTATCTTTTGTCCATTCTTTTCCAATTATCCATTTATCTCATTCATATTAGAAAAAAAAAAATTTCTCCTGAAATCACTAATCGAAGTATGATGCCTTTCCATCGCTCCCCTAAATTAACATTGAAGGTAACACCTAGTTCCCTATCTAATTCTGCTTAGTACATTCTACTTACTAAAATAGTAAATCCATAAAGTAATTAAATATATAATTAAACATTAAATCTCATAGCATTCCAATTATCTATCTCAAAAACAAATACCATAATAATAAGTTCATACACACATCCACACAATAGTCAATTAAACTCTATACTTAAACTAAGTATTTTAAACATTTCTTTAAATATTTTATTAAATCTTAAAATCTATCATTATTAAACCTTTAATGTTTTAATCTTTACTTAAATCTTATAAAATTCTAATTTTCTATTTCTAATACAAATACTACAATACTATCATGTACCTTGCAGAAACATTTTGGAACAAAATTATGCATTACCCATTATCCCTAAAAAAAGATTTTTTTTGCACATCTTGTTTCATACCTTTGTGGCTTTTTCCCCCCTTCTTCCTTCCTAACTTATCCCATCTGGTCTTTTTACCCCCCCTTAGCTTCCCCTCTCTGTTGTATTTCTCTTTTCTTTTGCTTTCTAACATTGTATTGATTTTGCATCTTATTTTTCTCTTTCTTGGATGTTTTTTTAAGTCTTATGTCCTTTTTAATCAACTTTGTAAACTCGTTAAAGATGGCTTCTTCTTCTTCTTCTTCTTCTTCTTCTTCTTCTTCTTCTTCTTCTTTCTCCTCCATTAATTGCTGTGTTTGTTGATAAGTCGCAAGCGCCATTTCTAAAAAGCGAAAAATTTCTCTCACACCGTCTTTACCTTCTTTTTTTATTTTACCATATTCCTCTCTCAGTTCATCAACAGATAAAGCCATTATAAACCTTTTCTTCTTCTTTTTTCTCTTCTTCTTCTTCTTCTTAAAACAACCAAGATAATTCAAAGCTTGAAACAATTCCCCAAAATCCCAAAGTCATCAAACAATCCAAACAGAGCACAAAGTTCTTCACACTTTTTCTTCCTGGGGTAATATCAATTGGCAAGGGGGAAAAAAAACCAATCTGTATTTTAAAGTCTTATTGCAATTAACTTCCAATCTCAAAATCTTCCAGGCATCTCCTCCAACAAAATCTTAATAAAAATTTTCCTTTTGTCCTCTCCCTTCCCACTTATAACAGAAAGCTTTAAATTTTTACCTTCTGTAAAATAGCAGGATTTTCAATATCCATTTGTTAAATCCATGTGGAAGGAGAGTAAACTTTCTCTTTAAGCACTTTCACTCGCCGCTTGTAAATCTCTTCTGGAAACAAAGTATCTTTCAAAAAATCAGGATTTTCAGGATAATACTTGTATCTTATAGTCCCAGTTCAGCCAAAAAACTTTCGCTTCAGAACTTTCTCCTTCTTCCTCCAGCACAATCTTGTCCAGCTGTCAGCTTCTTTGTGGCGGCCATTGCTGACCGCCACTCCACCGCCTTGAGAAAAGAGGGTTAAGCCGGGTGGGGAAGAGGTCTGCGAAAACCCCAACCCCCTGTCCGGATCCCTCCTATCTTCGGCTGCCTCTACGGGGCAACCTTAGCCTCCAAACCCGTCCGGATCGGAGGCACCAAGACGGCTAGCACAACAGGGATCGCGCAGGATCGCGAATCCCTGCCGCTGCCGAAGCCGACCGAATCCCTGCAGTTGTTAAGGTAGCAATATGGTTGTTAAGTGAATCTGGCTTCGTCATTGACTTTGCTTGTCAGAAGGTCATAAAAGGGGATTACATGACCCTGGGAGACTGCAACCATCATAAATACGAGTCAGTTGCCAAGTGTCTGAATATTGATCACATAACCATGGGGATGCTGCAAAAGTCACTTTTTTCCACGCTGTTGTTAACTTTGAATGGTCACTAAACAAACTGTTGTAAGTTGAGGACTACCTGTATTTTATTTATTTCTGCCTTACTGAATGCTAGGTATTGAAGTCCATTTCCTAGTATGATTTGATCGCTGATTGTACCCTATGACTATCATTAAATGTTGTATGTTATGATTCTTGATTCTTAACGAATGTACCTTTTCTTTAGGTATACTGAGAGTATTTACACCAAGACAAATTCCTTGTGTGTCCAATCACACTTGGCCAATAAAGTATTCTATTCTATTCTATTCTATTCTATTCTATTCTATTCTATTCTATTCTATTCTAATTCTAATTCTAATTCTAATTCTAATTCTAATTCTAATTCTATTCCTTGCAGACAGCTGGTCATTTGCATCCTTTTAGAGGGTCGTTGAGGCCATTTGGAGGTTTATCTGTGTCCTGGGGTCACCTGAGTAGTGCTCCTGGTTCCTGTAATCTGCATTTTTTTTCCCTTTGGAAATCCATTCCTACTGCT